TATCCACCGCCCATCAGCGGCTATTGTTTGGACTAATCTGGAATGGCTGGCTCTGCTAATTAGCTTTTCCGTTCTGGGCCTTTTTTTTTTTGTTGTCCTTTTTGGCCTTTTGGCTTTCTCTGCTTGCCTTTCACTTTTCTTTCCCCAAAAAAAAAAAAAAGGAGGAGGTTGGAAGGAAAATCTTTTAATTGATTTATTTTGTTGCATCTAAATCAACTATTTTAATGCCACTAGCTGGCATGGCCAAGTTATAATGATAAGCTGATTAGCGAAAAGCTTCGAAATAATGACATTGCCGACATTTTACAGCTGCCCCTTCCTCCCCTATCTGGTATTTCTTTTTATAATGCCTCTGATTCTGATTCAGATTGTGATTTAGCCTGGTCCTGATTCTGATCCGGACTGAGCTAAAGCCCTGGTTGGTCTTTGCTCCTCGGGACAAACGGTCTGAGCCCCCAGGCGAGGATGCCAATCAGGCTTTGGTCGGCCAGGACGGGGTCAGGACGGACCAGAACTCTGAGGCTCTTGCCGCCTTCCCATGGTTTGCATGTCAAACTCCACTGAGAGAAAATATAGGGGTTGTTTTGGGGAGTAATTGGGAGAATTAATAAAAAAAATAAATTAAAAATATTAGGGAGTCTTGTTTCAATAATTTTAAAGCCTGTTTTATTTTTTTTTATAATTTTTTAAAGTTTATTGATTATTTTATAGTAATAAATAGTCCTTTAAATACTGAATTTAATAGATTTTTTTTTTATTATTTTTATTTTTTTTATTAAATTTTTAAGAAAATAAAAGATAACCTCATGGAAAAGCTTGACAAAGTGAGAGTTTCTTCTAAATAATATTAAAAAAAAAAACCAAATAAAATTTTCTATTTTTTTAGTTAGTTAATAATACTAACTATTAGTACAATTTACTAACTAACTAAAAAAAAATAAGTAGTAGCTTTCACCTTTCACCCCCATAAAGTACAGCAACTTAATGCAAATGAGAGTATAATTGAATTGCATTTATTTGAGTGCAACAGGATGCGAATGAAATGGAGCTGATGGCTGGACAGGATCACAGCTAGTTGGGAGTTGATGTTGGCGGCTGGGAGGTTGGGAGGGGCAGCAGGACGATGGCTGTTGACTGGTTGGAGGTTTGGAAAGTTGGCAGGATGAGAGGATGATGTTCGGGGTGGGAAGTAACAACAATGGAGCCAAACGCTTGACTGAGCCATGGAGTCCTTCTTGTTGTCCTGCCAGTCCTGCCAGCCCTTTGCCCCTTTTAACCATTTTGCTTTTAGCTGATTCTTCTTCTTCTTCTTGTTGTTGTTGGTTATTAGTAGTTGTTGTTGTTGTTGTTAGTGCTATCCTGGTGTCGCTGGCATTGACGGGGCATTAACTCATTTCCTGCATCATTAAGGGCCACCTGCAATTTTCGCACATTTACGCCATAGACGTGTCCAGGATACATACATATATACCATCCTGCGACCTATATACCTCCCCCTTTCCTCCCACTCTCTATTGCCCTTCAGGTTAATCAATTTTAGTCGCAGGACTCTCCACTTTAATACGCTTTGAATGACATGACATGGACTGGCAGGCAGGATGAGAGGTGAGATTTGATCCCAAAGGCTATTTCGATTTTAAACAGGAATCGAAGGAATTCCACCTGCCCTCCCCACATCCACATGCCTCGCGAATAATTAATGACCCCTATGGGTTTTGATTCGAAGGGGGCTTTGGGGGTCAATGATGGGATTATATCAGTTTGTAGAAGAGGCATTGAGCTTTGATTTGGAATTTGATGGCTAAGGTTTTTAGTTTTTAATTAAAAAAAAAAAATAACGTCCACGGGAACTAATCATAACTAACGTTAAACCAAAGAAAAAAAGGTATATCCAAAAAGAAATAAAAATAAAATAAGAAAATCAGATACAATTCATAGAAGAGACTCCGTTTCCAAAATTTTTGGAAAGTAAATTCAGTGAAGATGAACTTGACATAAGCATCAGATCTTCATTTTAGATACCAAAATAAAAATAATAACAAAAAGAATATCTTTGAAAAGCTCGAAATCAGAGACCAAAAAAAAAAAATATAATAATAAATATAAAATAAGAAAATCAGATACAATTCATAGAAGAGACTCCGTTTCCAAAATTTTTGGAAAGTAAATTCATTGAAGATGAACTTGACATAAGCATCAGATCTTAAAAAAAAAAAATAAGAAAATAAGAAAATCAGGCAGCTTATTGTTATGTATTTTGTAATTATTATCACAGTATTTAAATAAAAATTCCAAAAAATTATAACAAAACATCAGAACATCAGAAAATCAGATCACAGGCTTCAGGTCAACTTTCACGTATACCTTGGTATAAAATATAAAAGAAGAAAAACCCGAAAGAAAAAGACGAAGGATCGGTTTGTTGAGAAAAAAAAATAAGAAAATCAGACCACAAATTTGTTATATAACAAGCACTTATAATAATGAGAAGCTAGATGTGGAAGGTTCGGCTCCACACCGAGTTCTGATGGAAATTGCATCGTCTCGCCTTTAAATATACTTGGGCAGAGGCAAAAATGTACTAACGCCTTTGGCATTTTTTAATAAAATGGGATTTAAGTTGTATCGCGTACAAGGTCACACTATACATTTATTCCAGATCAGGAAAATATTTTTTAGATTAATTAAATAATGTGACATGTTTGTATATAATAGTTTCTTTTTTCTTTTTTTTTTGTAATGGCCATATATTTATAAAAAATTATCTTTGTTTTTTTTTAAGAAACATTTTTATTAATTATTTTAATTTTTTAAGTTTTATCATTGTCATTTATTGATCAAATTTGAGAGAAAACTGCGAGCTTGATACCCTCAGTGGGTTCAGTAATTTTACAGATGAGCGATTTAGTTGAAAAAAAATGAAATAAAAACATTGGTAGTAACTCTTTCTCCTGGTTGTGGTGGACACTATCTTTTTGTTATATTAACTTTTTTTTTGGCCAACAAAAGTGTTCGACTGGACCAATGTGCCTGGGGCTCACAAATCAATAGTATTTATTTATTTAAAAAAAGTTATCTTTTTAACTCAAAATTCCTGAGTGCAAAAGCGCCAGATTTTGTTCAAAAAGTAATTAAAAATAAAGTAAAAAATAAGGCCCAAGAAAAAAGAGAAGACTTGGAGATTTCAAGCCAAAAAGACGAAAGCTCGAGCATCATTAAAAAATATATAGAAAATATCAGAATCAGAATAATATTTAAAAAAAATAATAATCAGGACCCAAGTTGAATCGTCTTCATATAAGGACCACCTTTTTAATTATTAAAAAAAAATAAATTAAAATACAAATAATCCGATCGTAGTCCTGACACGTGATAACATGTTTGCAAGTTTCAGAAAAAAAACAACAAAAATAAATACGAAAATCAGCTCGTCCTCAAGTTCAATATAGGCCCCACCACATGTTTAATTACTAAAAGAAAAAAAAAGAAAATTAAAATATAAAGTAGCAGGATGCAATGAGACATTAAAGAAGAATGTTAACAAGTTGTTAACAAGTTGTTAACAAGTTGTCAAAAAATATTTTTTTTAATTAAATAAGAAAATCAGCTTGTTGACATCATCTCGAAGTTCGAGATTAATGGTTCTTGAACAAATATTATAAAAAAAATAAATCAGAAAATCAGGTATATCCGAAATATTAGACCACCAGATGCGAAGCAACGTTGGTTCACCATATGTAAAACCACCGAATTTAAATAAAAAAATAATAGTTTTTTAAATAAAATAAGAAAATCAGCTTGTTGACATCATCTCGAAGTTCGAGATTAATGGTTCTTGAACAAATATTATAAAAAAAATAAATCAGAAAATCAGGTATATCCGAAATATTAGAGCACCAGATGCGAAGCAACGTTGGTTCACCATATGTAAAACCACCGAATTTAAATAAAAAAATAATAGTTTTTAAATAAAATAAAAAAACATCAGCTCATCATCCAGTTCCATTTCAGATCTATGGTTCTTGAACAAATATTATAATTTACCGCAAGGGAAATACAAATTCTTAAAAAATTAAATCAGAAAATCAGGTACATATATCCAACACTCCAGGCCTTCAGATGTATAACAGAATATAAATCAAAAAATAATATTTTTTAAATAAAATAAGAAAATCAGAAAATCAGCAAGAAAATTCCTCGAGCTCCAGTTTTTAAGCAATTTGAACAACTTTAAACAAAGACATCGATTCCCTTTAAGAACCAAACTTTTAACCGAATTTAAATGAAAAAAATAAAATCTTTTAAATAAAATAAGAAAAATCAGGTACCAGAAATTGTATTAAAATAAATAAGAAAAAACAAAAAAATAAAAAATTAAAATAATGAGCAACTAGATGTGGAGGGTTCGGCTCCACACCGAGTTCTGATGAAAATCACATCCGCCTGCCTTTAAATACACTTGTCGTGAGGCAAAAATATCCTAACGCCTTTAAGGGAAAGGGTAACATTATTTGGTGAAATGTGATTACAACTCTTTTTCATACAAGGTCACACTTTTTTGTGGCACAATTTTTAAATAGCAATTACTCACACGATATACCATCATTATCACAATTCTTGATTAAAAAATAAATATATTTAATATTTTAGTGGTATACTTAATGAATCCCTTATGGAAACTCTAAATTAAACCCAATTCTCCTTAATTTTAAACAAAAAACTATCCAACAATTGAGGGCATTTAATGAACTTGACCACTTTGATGGGCCCTAGGCCATGTGGGCACGGACTCGGACTCGGACTCGAATCGAGAAAAGTTTTTGTGGCCCGAAACCAATTTGAACCCCGTTCTGACCCACTTTACTGCAATTGTGCACTTTCCGTGCTGACAGTTTATTCATATTGAAGCGTATATACCGTATATATAGTGCCCTGAAGTAACTGAAGCCGTAACAATAAGCCCGTATCCGTTTGCTTCCGCCGTATTTTTTTATTTGCAGGCAGCACAGCGAATCCGGATGCGAAACGATTGTACGACGATTTGCTGAGCAACTACAACAAACTGGTCCGGCCGGTGGTTAATGTTACGGACGCTCTCACCGTTCGCATCAAGCTGAAGCTATCCCAGCTGATCGATGTCAATCTGAAGAACCAAATAATGACCACCAATCTGTGGGTGGAGCAGTCCTGGTACGACTACAAGCTCAAGTGGGAGCCCAAGGAGTATGGCGGCGTCGAGATGCTACACGTCCCCTCCGATCACATATGGCGTCCGGACATTGTCCTCTACAACAAGTAAGGTCTAAGTTTCTCTTTTTAAATTTTCTCATGAATATTGGATCTAAAATTTTTGCAGCGCCGATGGCAATTTTGAGGTGACCTTGGCCACCAAGGCCACATTGAACTACACGGGACGGGTGGAGTGGCGCCCTCCGGCCATTTATAAAAGCTCCTGCGAGATCGACGTCGAATATTTTCCCTTCGACGAGCAAACCTGCGTCATGAAATTCGGCAGCTGGACCTACGATGGCTTTCAGGTGAGTTCTTTTGAGAAAAATATATAAAAAGCCTGCCCAAAAATTTCCTATCGATATATCGAATGTCTTTTCTAACGATATATAAAATATATTATAGGAAGTTTCTGAATAAATGCCATACCAAATACCTTGTTCTTTTATAATTATATAGTATATTCAAAAATATTAAAATTATTTTCCAGCTAATATTAAAAAAAAACCAAACAAAAATCAAGTTAACCGATTTTGCAAATTAAAATACTCAAACTGGTCACATTAGCGATTTGATATCGATATCTCGATTAGTGAATATCAAATTTATTTTCGATAATATAAGTAATAGAGATGCGTTTTTCAACTATCTATCAGTTACTATCTATCATATTAGTTACGGACTATCGTATCAGAGATGGCTATATCTTCCCCAATTCTCATCCGATTCTCAAGCGGAGTGTTTTAAACGATTTCTAGATCGATTCTCCACCTTTCTGCATCAAAACCCCGAGACAAAATATTTTTCAGATTTTTTGTCCATTTTTCCTGATGGGATCCCTGGAAATGGGATTTTTCCATATGGGGCCCACAGTGATGGCTATATCTTCCCCAATTCTCATCCGATTCTCAAGCGGAGTGTTTTAAACGATTTCTAGATCGATTCTCCACCTTTCTGCATCAAAACCCCGAGACAAAATATTTTTCAGATTTTTTGTCCATTTTTCCTGATGGGATCCCTTGGAATGGGATTTTTCCCCATAGGGTCCACGGTAATGGCTATATCTTCCCCAATTCTCACCCGATTCTCAAGCGGAGTGTTTTAAACGATTTCTAGATCGATTCTCCACCTTTCTGCATCAAAACCCCGAGACAAAATATTTTTCAGATTTTTTTTCCATTTTTCCTGATGGGATCCCTTGAAATGGGGTTTTCCCCATAGGGTCCACGGTAATGGCTATATCTTCCCCAATTCTCACCCGATTCTCAAGCGGAGTGTTTTAAACGATTTCTAGATCGATTCTCCACCATTCTGCATCAAAACCCCGAGACAAAATATTTTTCAGATTTTTTTTCCATTTTTCCTGATGGGATCCCTTGAAATGGGATTTTTCCATATGGGGCCCACAGTGATGGCTATATCTTCCCCAATTCTCACCCGATTCTCAAGCGGAGTGTTTTAAACGATTTCTAGATCGATTCTCCACCATTCTGCATCAAAACCCCGAGACAAAATATTTTTCAGATTTTTTGTCCATTTTTCCTGATGGGATCCCTTGAAATGGGGTTTTCCCCTATAGGGCCCACTGCGATGGCTATATCTTCCCCAATTCTCATCCGATTCTCAAGCGGAGTGTTTTAAACGATTTCTAGATCGATTCTCCACCATTCTGCATCAAAACCCCGAGACAAAATATTTTTCAGATTTTTTGTCCATTTTTCCTGATGGGATCCCTTGAAATGGGATTTTCCCCTATAGTGCCCACAGTGATGGCTATATCTTCCCTTAATTCCCATGTTCCCCATTATAATACCCTCTCTTGGAATACAATTAAATAAAAATAAAGAACCAGTTATTATTTAAAAACCTCAGCATCAGACCCATGCCAATAGAATCTGAAAATAAAATACAGTTGCCCCAAAAACTACAAGCCCGTAAGAAAACCAATTTACCAAAGCTTGGTGGTATTACGGATTTTAGTTACATTTCTCTCTAAAAAACGGTGAAAAAAAAGGAAATAGAAAATAGGAATGGAGGAAAAGCTTTTAGCAAAAGGGGATTTCAATTTCCCATTTTGGAAGCACGTGTCGGTACATCTAGTAAACAAATCTTCGATTTGCGCTTTTATGGCAACCGCAAAATTTGGTTGCCACCAGTGATGAGATTCTGATGCATTGCATCCTAGTAGCATTGGAAGTCTTGGTATCCTTGTTGCATCCTTGAGAATTCACACGCCATCCTTTCCACACACTTGTGATCCAATTTAAAACCACACAAATGAAAGTTTCTTCTACGAGTTGGTTGGTGTATGGCCTTTGGCTAATTGGTTTATAAATCTGTGGCAAGTGTATATATCAAGGAGATATGTTTGCCATTAAAGGGTGTGTGTGTGTGTGCCAAGGATTCGTATATTTATGTATGTATGTTTAACCACCCTCGTTGCAGGATCTACTCACAATCCCCAGGAGCTATCTCATTTACACATTTACAAATTGCTCACCTCTGGCGGCTCTGGTTCTGGTTCTGGTTCTGGGCCCTGTTTCTGGATGTCTCTGAGCCAGGTTTAGTGGTCATAAACCGAAATACGGTCATAATTCCTTTTGGAACACTGGCATAGAATTTCTCACGTTTTATGGCCACAGAAGCACACAAACACATACGAAAGAGATGGCTGTTGCAACCAAAGATAGAGATAGAGATAGAGATAGAGAGACAGGCAAATGGTTGCGGAATAGACATTTAAACAGAGAGACACAATAGGACACAAGCGGACAGAGGGACACGCGGACAGACGGACAGTCGACCACAGGGAAGCTTCATAAAAACGTCTCTGGTGGCTAAGTCCAGACCCAGGACGTACAAGCACGGCTGCCTGGGAAAAGGATACAGGACATTGGACACTGAGGCAGCTTGACACCTGGCGACCAAAACGATTGGAGGCCTCGTAACCTCGTAAAATTCTCTCCGAAAAAAAAAAAACAAATGCAACCCGAGGCGTCGGTACACTGAAAGAAAACTATCATACAAAAAAAATATTCAAACATTAAAGTACAGACTCAGGTTAGAGGTGAGGAAATACCTCTTCGTAACAGTATTTCCTGTTATTTTCTAGTCTTAGTTATTTTTTTCTCTCAGTGCAGTAATAGAAACAGAGCAGAGATGGATGCTTTGTGGCTTTGGCTTGTGGTCGGGTTTCTTGCCAGCTAATAATGAACAGGCCCAAATGGACCGGGCCGAAAAGCACGGCTAGGGACTGGACTGGACCGACTGACTGGGCAAGGGGGAGGAGGGGGCGGTGGTCTAAGCCAAGTTAGGACCCATTTTGAGGTTGCCAGCGTTGGGTTAACCAAATGCATCCAGTAAGGTGTTTAAGCCAAGTCATAAAATCGCGTTTCGGTGAAAAGAAATAAACAAGTTTATAAAGAGACCTTACCAAAAAAAAAAAATTGTATTTAATTCAAGGATATTTTTTACTAAAAAATGGGTAGCCAGGATGAACGGAAATAAATGAAATAAAATAAATAAAAAGCAAATTAAATAAATTAATTAAATAAGAATATTATAAAGATGTGAAACATTATGAAAAAATAAAAATTCTAATCTTTTTTTGGGTCATTCAACATTTTTAAAGTGGTAACCGTGACAATAATGGAAAAAAAATGTATGAGAACCCAGAGTTGATGTTCCCATGAGAACTAGATGATCACATTAAAAAAATACAACAAACAAAAAAAAAATATTTAACAACAAAATCTTGCTACAAGCAAAAATTTTTTTTCCGGCCAAAAAAACCATTGGCAAAAAGACTTTTGGAAAAGAACATAATGGGCAAAAAGTAGGAGAACAAAATTTTAAAAAATCAAACAAGAAAATCAGGCTCTCTTTAATTTTAAGTATAAAAATCACTTTTCTAAATATTCTTTGTTGAAAAAAAAAAATAAGAAAATCAGAAAATATTTTTCTTTTTGTCAAATAATCAGATGGTTTTCAAAATATAAAACAAAAAATAAGAAAATCAGGCCACATATTTCTGTTTTAAAAATAATCAGTTGGTTCAAAAAAGAAAAAAAGAAAATCAGATGATTAACTTCATTTTCCTTCTCCTATTACCTTGGTAATAGAATATGTAAATATAAAAATAATTTGTCGAAATATAAAAGGATAAATAAGAAAATCAGGCCACATGTTCAAATACATATAATACAATACATATAGAACGCTTAACGCTTTAGAACGCTTAATCACTTAACGAAGTAACCTGAAACTCAAGCCCAGAGGCCACAGTACATATAAATGGATTGGTTTGTTGATAAAAAAAAAAAATAAGAAAATCAGGCTACATGTTTCTCTTTGTTGAATAATCAGATGGTTTTCAAAATAAAACAACAAAAAACAAGAAAATCAGAAAACATTTTTTTATTCATCAAATAATCAGATGGTCTCCAAAATACAAAAAAAAATAAGAAAATCAGGCCACATGTTCGTTATATAATACGCACTCGGTGTATCAATTATATATCATACGATACATATAGAACGCTTAAGAACGCCTTTAAGAATTAAAATGGATCGCAAGATCGGTTTGTTGAGAACAAAAAAAAAATAAGAAAATCAGACCACACTTTATAATACGAACTTATAATAATCAGATGGTTTTCAAAATATAAAACAAAAAATAAGAAAATCAGGCAACATGTTTGTAATATAATACGCATATAGAACGCCTAATTATTTTACGAAGTAAGCAGAGACTCCTGCCCAGAGACCACAGTATACATATATCAATGGATCGATTTGTTGAAAAAAAAAAAAATAAGAAAATCAGGACAAAATTTTCTTATTTATAAAATAATCAGATGGTTTTCAAAATATAAAACAAAAAATAAGAAAATCAGGCAACATGTTTGTAATATAATACGCATATAGAACGCCTAATTATTTTACGAAGTAAGCAGAGACTCCTGCCCAGAGACCTCAGTACATATAAATGGATCGGTTTGTTGAAAAAAACAAAAAAAAATAATAAGAAAATCAGACCACACTTTATAATACGAACTTATAATAATGAGAAGCTAGATGTGGAAGGTACGGCTCCACACCGAGTTCTGATGAAAATCACATCCGCCCGCCTTTAAATATACTCGGGACAGGGCAAAAATGTGAAGTGTGGCATTATTTGGTGAAAGGGGATTTAAGTAATTTTGCGCAAATACGGCCACACTTAAAATGCTTCGTTCTTTAAAATTATGTTTCTAAATGGTAGCTTAGGCAAGGGTTTCTACTTAAATTCTCCTTTTAATGAAGTAACCAGAAAATAACTCTCATAAAGAGACAACTGCCTTCTTAATTTGAATCAATTAATTTATTAAATCAGTTTAGTTCTCAGGCGTCTGGTAACACTCCTGCTAATCCAATTTACCATTTTCCCCTGGCATGTCCTCTCTAATTGTATAAATTATGCATGTAAAATGACTTAAAGACCTTAATTTGCAACTACATATTTATTATTGGGCGAGTCCGGTCCGATCCGGTCCGGTCCGGTTACTTCTTGATGAAATTTCCACAAATTAAATGGCCACATATTAAAGCCAAGCCAAGAGCCAAGTTGAGGAGCCGCCCGAAGGTCTTGAAGAGGACAAAGTGTCTCGATTTTCTGTATATTTTGTTCCGTGAACTCAATTAGGAGAGGATATTTGTACAAAGATAGCATCTGCCGGCACGGCCTTCACCCGCCCTGCCACTACTTTTTTGCCTTAAAGTTAGTTAAATTGTCAGAACAATTAGGAATATGTATGTATAGAGGTATGTAGATACCTGCCCACATTCACAGTTATACACCTGAGAGAACAAACTAAGACACCAAGACACTTGACTAATTTGGTAAAAAGCTAAATGCTCATTTAATATTAAAAAGGCAAGGCGCTAACAAGCATTTGACACGACACTGTGTGCGGGGGAGTGAGTGGCTGGTGTGGTGTGGTGTGGGTCACAGGAAGAGGAAGTAGACTATATGCATAGTCTATATGTAGATATATTTGCTAAGAAAGCGTGAAGACTATTAAGAGGGATAACTTTCTCTTATATGGATTTCTTAAATATTTTTTTAAAAGACTAGATTTTTGTTTAAGTGTGTTTCCAACCGCAAAATTAACGTTATCCCATAGTCACTATAAAATTATTTATAAACTCTACTTCACGAGGAAGAACGTGTCCTCTCTCTTTCTCTACATCTATCCCCTGTCTCTGTCTCTTCAGGTAGTATCACTCAGAACGGAAATATTTCATTAAATCATCACTTCCTTATAGTGAAATTTCCGCTACCACTTAAAATAACAATTTCCGCTTCGGTAACTCGACTCGAGTATGCCGCCGTCACTGCATTAGTATTTGTGCATTTGTAACGGCATTTTTGCACCTAAGGGAAAATCCTGAGGAATGCCACATCCTCTCTGATTATTTTCCCACCCAACTACATTCTACCTTTTCTGCAATCCTTCATCCTTGTCATTGGGGGGCGGAGGGGATATACCAAGAAGCAGCCTGTTTTCCATTCACGTTCAGCAAACATCGATTTCCTAATTTTCGTGTCAATGAGCCAAGCTCTTGCGGAAAATGGTGAAAAGTGCGACTGCGAAAGGGGGTGGGGAATAGGCTGGGTGGTGGGGTGGCGGTACAGAAAAATTGAGAAAATATGTGCGGGCTGAACAAATGGCAAGGGCAAGTTTATAGGCTCGATTTTCACACATGATTTGCCCACAAAAATAAAAAATAAAAATCAGAGCAAGAAGAGAAGAGAAAGAGAGCCATTCTTTTACACAATAGTAGTGTGACCATGTTCGAGACAAAATCAAAAATCCCTTTTCACTAAATAACGCTTAAAGCCGTTAGGACATTTTTGCCTCATGCCGCCTATTTAAAGGCGCGCGGATGTGATTTTAATCAGAACTCGGTGTGGAGCCGTACCTTCCACATCTAGCTTCTCATTATTTTAAGTTCGTATTATAAAGTGTGGTCTGATTTTCTTATTTTTTTTTTGTTTTCAACAAACCGATCCATTTATATGTATTGAGGTCTCTGGGCTGGAGTCTCTGGTTACTTCTTAAAGTGATTAAGCGTTCTTAGGCGTTAATTGATACACCGAGTGCGCATTATACAACGAACATGTGGCCTGATTTTCTTATTTTTTATTTTTTTTATTTTGAAAACCATCTGATTATTTTATAAATAAGAATATTTTGTCTGATTTTCTTATTTTTTCTTTTATATTTTGCATCTGATTATTAAACAAATATGTGGCCTGATTTTCTTATTTTTTTTATTTTGAAAACCATCTGATTATTTAATGAACAAAAAAATTTTTTTCTGATTTTCTTTTTATTTTTTGTTTTTTTATTTTGAGATGGTTGAGATGGATTATTCAACAAACATAAATATGTGGCCTGATTTTCTTATTATTTTTTCAACAATTTTATTATTTAATATTTCCAATGAAGACGTTAATTTTTATGTGTGGAATTCTTTTGTCTTCTGTTATGTTGTTATAATTCATCTTCCATCGTCTTACTTTGTGGTAGATAGTCTAGCGTGTGCTAGATATTTAATCATCGTTATAATTTTATATTTTTTTTAATGAAATTCTGGGTCTTCTTCTTAAATTCCTCCTTACTTTGGGGTAGATATTCTAACGTGTGCTAATAGTTCACTTTGAAACCTTTAAATGAACTTACTAACTAAACATTTGGAATGAAATCCTGGAAGGTATTATATATATTTTATATTATATTAAATATATATTTTTTTTTTGCAAAGTACCAAACTATTCTCATATTTTTTGATAGTGTATATCATTGGCCTGTCAACTCGAAATCGTATTAACATCAGTTTTTAAATTTCACGCTCATTCCTACAATGGTATAAGCCACCCAGAGCCCTCAGCCCAGCTCCCAGCCCCAGCCCACCTGCCTGGAAGTCTCCCATCGCCTTCTATGTCAACTGCCACCTGCTCCTTCGCGAGGACCACCCCCCTTTGAAGTCATTGAGGCGTAAATTGGCAGACAAAACGCTTATGGAAACTCGCTTCGATTGAAGTCTTCATTTTTTTTAAGAAACTAAAACTAGAAATATTAAAAAAAAAAAATCAAATAAATTGTTAATTTTAGTTTTGAAAGCCTGCCTTTATGATTTTCTTTCAATTTTGGATGTCCTGGCCAATGTCCTAGCAAAGGATCAAGTTTGATTGAACCACTTTACTTGGTTGGCTTGGAGAGAGTGTTGCAATTTTACGTCAAATACTTCATCCAGAACTGTTCATCGTCCAAAATAAGGATGTGTGTGTGTGTATGTGTGGTGGCATGCCAATTGCAGTAGTGTCCTGTCGAATACCTGTTGTCCATGTCCTGTCAGCTGCACTCGTGCCGAACTAAGCAAAACTGAAACTGAAATTGAAGTGCGGCCTCCAAGCTTGCACCTGCCTGGTTACCCGGTAACCTGGTCATCTGGTCATCTGGCTACCACCTATCCTTCTGACCACCCATCCCCATTACAGACCCTGCCCAATAAATGCCCTCAAAGGACTCTAGTTCGTTTTCCTTTTCTGCTTTTTCGGGAGCTTCGAGAATTTTTGGGGAACTGACGTTGACAGTCGAATCGCCATGACATGCCAGCACTATTCAGGATATATGTACAATCCCAGATATAGACAACAGGCCAGCACAGACACGAATAGAACGAAAGACAAACAGAGAGTAAGAGAGAGCAAAAGAGATGGCTAGCTGATGCAAGGCAATTATAGTTGCTGTCACTGTTGCACATTAATTGAAATCATGTCTAATCATGAAATGGAAAGTGAGCGGCAAGTCGGGAAAATTAATTAGATTTTTAAAGGTGGAATTTCAAAGCATGTAAAATTATAAAGGGTAGGGTATTTAATATTAGGGTATTATAAATATTATTATATTATTCAATATTTACCCTAATAATTGGGTATTTATAAAGAAAAACCTTTAAAAAAACCAAAATATTGAAAGTTCATACAGTTTAAGGATGTAGTCTCATGTTCCGGCTATTTCAAAAAATTTTTGTTGTAATAAAAAATAATGCGATCGTTTCAATTTTCACATATGTTTTTATAGGCATCATAAACTATTTGAAAATATTTTGTTTAATTTATTCTTGTGTAGTTTAATACACTTTATAGCATGCCAAAGTATGCATATAAAAAAAAAAGATAGGTCCCTGGCGCAGGTGATTTCGACTGCTAGAGTCATCCGAAACAAAAAATTAGAATAGATTATTGTTTTGTAAGCTAATGGCTCTGTCCCGTACTAGAATGAAATATTTTCATCAATAAACAACAAAATGGCGAACACACAAAAAAAAAATTTTTTTTTAATTTAAAAAATTTATCTTAAATTAATGATAAAAAAAAAAACTAATCGTTAAAAATAATTGATTCTAGTACGGGACAGAGGTGTTACTTTTTAGAACAACATATCCAAATTTCAGCTAGATCGGTACCATAGAATTTTGTGAATCACCTGCGCCGCACACGAAAATGTCGTTCCGAGAAAAACGCGTTTAAAGTTTAGACCCTACCGAGAAACTCATACTTTTCGGTGTAGGTGCGCTCTCGATTATGGGCTGTATCGCTGTCATTATTTGATATTTTTATTTGAAACTTTAACAGTACATTCTTAATAAACAATACTATCGAAATATGTGAAAAAAAAAATAGATTTTTTCAACCTTAAACATGAGACTACATCCTTAATAAACCAAAGTGACTAAAAACCTACACATAATAATTTTTATAAATCGTACTGCCTACTTTCTCTCAGTGTATAAAATCAATTTTTAAATCCGTTTTTTATTTTAAATCTTTGTCCTGAATCAAAGTTTATCCAGTTTTATAAACGAAAGAGTCTATAAAACTATAATAACACTAGAAAATATTTTAATTCCTGACATAATTTCTCTCAGTGTATAAAATAATTAATTTTTAATAAAATTTTGTCTTCAAATTTTTGTCTTGAATTGAATGACATCCATTTGTATAATTTCGAGAGTCTTAAAGTCTTATAAATTTTCTCCCAGTGTATTAAAATAAATTTCAAATAATTCTCAAAATATTCTTCAAGAATAATCTTAATTTTTGAATTAAATTCAAATTTGCAGGTGGATCTGCGGCACATCGACGAACTGAATGGCACCAACGTGGTCGAGGTGGGCGTAGATCTGTCCGAGTTCTATACATCCGTGGAATGGGATATCCTCGAAGTTCCTGCAGTGCGGTAAGTGCATCACCTATGTATGTATGTATGTACTCCCCCAAAAACACCCAACCACCCACATACATATATAGAACAAATTCTATCGAAAAAATTCACCCACCCTTGAACAATTATTTTTGGCAGAAACTCCTTGTTGGCAAGTTCCTTGGACGCTGTCACAAAACACAAACACAAATCTTTCAGGATGTCAGAGCACACACACACATACACTAGCAGGTCAAGGATGCAAGTTTCTTTTTTGTAGTGCAAGTGCATGAAAGAGATAGAGTTAGTGGCTAGTGGAAGGAGATGGAAGATATTTGAAAACCTGAGCTTCATGATAAAGTTACCAGCAGCAGAAAAATGCCAATGATGATGATGATGATCTTTCGATGTGCTGTACGTGGGCGTCATTTTTACGCAGGGGGGCGTGGTCGTTATTTACACTTTGCACTCTAAACACAGAAAACCCCACCCTCCCACGCCTCATGCCTCACCTTTCTGGTACATTTTTGTTTTTTTTGTTGTTGTTGTTTTCTGTTGAAGTTTTTAAATTAAAAAACTTTGCCAAAAGGAGCTGCCAAAGCAACAAAAACAACAAAAGCAACAAAAATTATATAAATAAATTTAGAAAGCCAGGCCAAGACAAGGCCTTTGTTTTTTTTTATTTTTTATACTGGTCAAGCATTTATGTATGAGATTTTATACAGCAGAGGGAAAGATTAGAATGCCAGTTACTTAATAAAAATAATTAATTAAGCTTTTTGGTTTTAAATAAATTTATAAGCTTTGTGTTATGAAATTAATTGAATTTAAAAAGTTTTTAAAAGTTAATCGTATGTATTATTTAAAAAAATAAAACAAAAAAATATAATGATCATTATTTTCTTTTTAGTATCGACTTCGTGACTTAGTGTTTATAGTGTTGAAAAACGCACTTAACAATCATGAAGCTACTTTAGCCTTCGTGCTTTCTTTGGAGTCACGAGTTCGAACCAAGTAGAGGATCAAATTACAATTTTTTTATTCTTTTTTTTATAGATTATAGTGGGTTAATCTTTGATATAATTTATGTTTATTTGTATTAAATTTTAATTTATATTTTAATTATAAATTTAAATAATTTTCCTAAAACATTTTCGTTACCTCTATAGTATAGCCATGTTGTATAAAAGACTCTTGTTCTTTTAAGAAAAGTGAAAGCTTCCCAAATTTGTTCCATCAGTTTTGGGGAGGCGTTTGTTTAATTGCCACGCCCACTTTTGCCAGAGAGTGAGACGGCACGCGTTTGTGTGCACACAATGTACAAGTGAAAGAGAGAGGGATATGGAAATGTTCCTAATGCATTAAGCTACCAAACAAAAGGCAACAAGAAATTTTTGGGTTTCACTTTGGGAGCAACTTTGTTGCTAAATCTTTGGGTTTTCTGCTAGCAGCCGCCTAGGCAGGTGAAGAGCCCGACCAGGGGGTCAGGGGTCATGGGAAAGAAGTGTACTGTTGAGTGCCATTAATTAGTTGATGACACGTGCTAGATGAACTGAGTAACTGCAGCTTGCAAAATACTCTTAATTAAGCTTATTAGTCCGCAGCTCGCCACAAAGTTTCGATTTTACTTTCATTTGAGGAAAGTATAAACATAGACGTTTAAAATCACGGAGGATTAGAATTTAAGATAATAAGGGGTTTGATTAAAAAAATATTTAATAACCAAGATGAGCCGCTTGACTTGAGCAGTGAAATATAAGTTTAATATATTAATAATCCTAGAAAAAAAGTATTACTTTTCAAAAATGAAAATAAGAAAATCAGGAATCCCAGTATTTAAATGAAAATAAATGAATATATAAACTTGCATTTAACTGAAATAGAAGCACTGCCTTTACATAGCAAAACACGAACAAGTAAACCCAGAAAAAAAGTAATACGTTTCTAATAGTAATACAGTGCAAAAATACCATTTCGGTGGGTATATCTTATCCGATTCTCAAGCGGAGTGTTTTAACCGATTTCTAGATCGATTCTCCACCTTTCTGCATCAAAACCCCACGACAAAATATTTTTCAGATTTTTTGTCCCTTTTTCCTGATGGGTATGTCGTATTATATTTTTATTTTGGTATGCCAGAAAAAGAGTCCATACAAAATCCGATTTCTGGAATATTGTTTCTATATGGTATATACCATAGGCTTTTTTTGTGGCGCTGACTGTATAGTTTTCGATAGCGAGTATCTTAATATCGATAATATATCGAGTGGTAATTGCTTTTTGAATTTTTATCACAGAAAAGTGTGACCTTGTACGCGATACAACTTAAATCCCATTTAATTAAAAAACGCCAAAGGCTTTAGGACATTTTTGCCTCTACCCAAGTATATTTAAAGGCAATACGGTGCAATTTCTATCAGAACTCGGTGTGGAGCCGAACTCTCCACATCTAGCTTCTCATTATTTTAAGTTTTTATTTTTTTGTTTTTTCTTATTTATTTTAATTTATTGCCTGATTTTGGTGCCTGATTTTTCTTATTTTATTTAAAAGATTTTATTTTTTTCATTTAAATTCGGTTAAAAGTTTGGTTCTTAAAGGGAATCGATGTCTTTGTTTAAAGTTGTTCAAATTGCTTAAAAACTGGAGCTCGAGGAATTTTCTTGCTGATTTTCTGATTTTCTTATTTTATTTAAAAAATATTATTTTTTGATTTATATTCTGTTATACATCCGAAGGCCTGGAGTGTTGGATATATGTACCTGATTTTCTGATTTAATTTTTTTAAGAATTTTTATTTCCCATGCGGTAAATTATAATATTTGTTCAAGAACCATAGATCTGACATGGAACTGGATGATGAGCTGATGTTTTTTTATTTTATTTAAAAACTATTATTTTTTTATTTAAATTCGGTGGTTTTACATATGGGGAACCAACGTTGCTTCGCATCTGGTGCTCTAATATTTCGGATAAACCTGATTTTCTGATTTATTTTGTTTATAATATTTGTTCAAGAACCATTAATCTCGAACTTCGAGATGATGTCAACAAGCTGATTTTCTTATTTTATTTAAAAAATTTTATTTTTTTATTTAAATTCGGTGGTTTTACATATGGTGAACCAACGTTGCTTCGCATCTGGTGGTCTTATATTTCGGATATACCTGATTTTCTGATTTATTTTTTTTATAATATTTGTTCAAGAACTATTAATCTCGAACTTCAATATGATATCAACAAGATGATTTTCTTATTAAATTAAAAAAAAAAATATTTTTTTCTTTTATTTGAATTCTGTTGTCACTACATCACCGAAGTTTACCGAAGGACCGCGGTTTTTCCTGAAACTTATTAAGACACTACTACTTTTTTTAATAAATAAAAATGTGGTCCTTATATGAAGACGATTCAACTTGGGTCCTGATTATTTATTTTTTTTAATATGATTCTGATATTTTCTATATATTTTTTAATGATGCTCGAGCTTTTGTCTTTTTGGCTTGAAATCTCCAAGTCTTCTCTTTTTTCTTGGGCCTTATTTTTTACTTTATTTTTAATTACTGTTTGAACAAAATCTTTCGCTTTAGCACTCAAGAATTTTGAGTTAAAAAGATAACTTTTTTTAAATAAATAAATACTATTGATTTGTGAGCCCCAGGCACATTGGTCCAGTCGAACACTTTTGCTGGCCAAAAAAAAAGTTAATATAACAAAAAGATAGTGTCCACCACAACCAGGAGAAAGAGTGACTACCAATGTTTTTATTTCATTTTTTTTCAACTAAATCGCTCATCTGTAAAATAACTTAACCCACTGAGGGTATCAAGCTCGCAGTTTTCTCTCAAATTTGATTAATAAATGACAATGATAAAATTAAAAAAATAAAAATAATTAATAAAAATGTTTCTTAAAAAAAAACAAAGATAAATTTTTAGAAATATATGGCTATTACAAAAAAAAAAAAAAAAAAAAAAAAAACTATTATATACATACATGTCACATTATTTAATTAATCTAAAAAAAATATTTTTCTGAAATAAATGTATATATAGAATATAATACTAATTCTATATATAAATGGTTTTTAATATCGAGTATCTTAATATCGATAATATATCGAGTGGTAATTGCTTTATGAAATTTCATCACAAAAAAGTGTGACCTTAAATCACATTTCATTAAAAAACGCCAAAGGCGTTAGTACATTTTTGCCTCTGCCCAAGTATATTTAAAGGCGAGACGATGCAATTTCCATCAGAACTCGGTGTGGAGCCGAACCTTCCACATCTAGTTTCTCATTATTATAAGTACATTTTATATAACAAATTTGTGGTCTGATTTTCTTATTTTTTTTTCTCAACAAACCGATCTTTTTACGTCTTTTTCTTCCGGTTTTGTCTTCTTTTATATTTTATACCAAGGTATACGTGAAAGTTGACCTGAAGCCTGTGATCTGATTTTCTGATGTTCTGATGTTTTGTTATAATTTTTTTGGAATTTTTATTTAAATACTGTGATAATAATTACAAAATATATAACAATAAGCTGCCTGATTTTCTTATTTTCTTATTTTTGTTTTTTAAGATCTGATGCTTATGTCAAGTTCATCTTCAATGAATTTACTTTCCAAAAATTTTGGAAACGGAGTCTCTTCTATGAATTGTATCTGATTTTCTTATTTTATATTTATTATTATATTTTTTTTGTTTGGTCTCTGATTTCGAGCTTTTCAAAGATATTCTTTTTGTTATTATTATTATTTTGGTATCTAAAATGAAGATCTGATGCTTATGTCATGTTCATCTTCAATCAATTTACTTTCCAATAATTTAGATAATGGAGTCTCTTATTTTCTGAATTGTGCCTGATTTGCTTATTTTATTTTTATTTCTATATTTTTCATTTTGAATGAACCAAATGTTATTTGATAAAAAATAAAGTCAAAGATTGTTAAAAATTATTGACAGAAAAAAAAAAATCATCTCTATTCGATGTATTGATATGAAATTGTTCATATGGCATACTTTTTTTTTGT